TAACATTCTGTGATTCTGTGAAACTGATTGACCTTTCTGACAATAAGGAAATGGCATTTATACCCAGAGCCAGAGGGTCATGAGTACTTCTGCTACCTACAGTCCTGCTGACCAAAAAAAAACCTCCCAACATGCATTTTCTGTAGTGAAGTAATCTAATAAAACCACAGGAGAATTCCAATGTAAACTAAAACCAAAAGCAAACAAATAAACCTTTTCCACATTGGCATGTCATGTTTTCTATGCACCAGATGTTTTATTTTGGAAACTGTAAGAAAGTTGATAATTTCAAGACTTAATTTTTTCTTACCTAATGATTCTACACCTAGCATTACACTATAAGATTTTTCTTTCGCACCTGAGTAGTACTTGCAGAAGAAAAATGTTGTGCCTTTCGTGCATGTTGTGCATGTTCGTGCATACGGAGTCGTCAATTGGTGAAAACTGACTGCAATTAGCTTCAGGCTCCACCAGTATATGCTAGTCTCTTTCAAGAATCAAAAGAAAATTCCCAGAAGAATAGGAACTCTTCAGTGTTTTAGTCAAAACTTCCAACAGCTGCACCCACTGAGTCACTCAAAGAACAGACTGCTTGTATGTTACTCTACCCAATTTAAGTACGACCACATACAGCATCTAACAATCCATGTTTCCCAAAATTGTTCAAGTGGCAATGTATTAGAAGAGAGCCTCGCTTCATAGCCTAGAGAATCAAGTTTGAAATAGCTAGCTGGATCAGTAAAGCCCTTTTTTCATTTTGGAACATCAGAAATTTTCTATGAGTAAGACTACCACAGAGGGGAGGCTTCTGAGCAGGACTTTAAAGAGATCATAACATGCCCTAGAGTTTGCAAAAAACTCTAAGCACTGTTTTCTCCACTTAGCTTTGACCAAATGGTACTTCACTAGTATTTTGTAGTATATAGCTGCATGTCAGTAGAACTGTTCATACAGTGTACAGGGCTCAATCCTGTAAGTTTCTGCTGTTATCTTATTAGATAGGTACCTCACTAAGTGAATCTCAATGAATCTTCAAATAAGTTTGAAATATCTGTGCACCAGCATCTGGCTTCCAAGCACAACTACATTAGAACAAATACATGTAACTTTTTAGTCATTCTAGTTCAACTCCACAGTCAGAGTCAGATGGAAATGATTTGATGGAAGGATGCACTTTTGCATCAAACTTTCCACAGAAGAGGGAAGACCAGTTTCTGTCTGTACTCACTGTCTTGCTTTAATTTCAGTAACAGGAAAACACACTTATCCTTGCTTACCCTCAATATAAGAGCTAAACAATTTAGCTCCAGGTCTCACTCCACAGCTCTCCTTGTGCCTCTGGATCAGGAGCAGTGTTTGGAAAACACTGCCACCTCACCATACAGTCTCTTTGCCTCTAGGTACATCCAAATCAATTATGATTGTATTGACCGTCATAGCACCAGCCAAAGCAGAAAAGCAAAACTGATGATTATCTTTCGCAAAGAATGAGGCACTGAGATCTGCAGCAGTACTTAAAACAGATCAATGGGAACCAACTATGTTTCTCACAGAGCTAATAGTCTACTGACACTTTAATAATTTGAACAAAAATGTAAGACAGAACACAAGACAAAGCATATAACGTGATTTAGTGGTCAATAACAAGAGCGGGGTGAATGGAAGAGAGCTACCTAAAATAAAAGAAAAAAATTGCCACAAGGTCACTGAAGTGACTGATAGAAAACTGCTGATCCCTGTTTAAATGGCCAAGAGGATGATTTACAGATCGTAACAGAACCTACAAATCCAGCTGCAGCAATACATTTATCCCGCCTTTGTCCATTTTTATGTATGATGCGCACTACCATCTGCTGGACAGAGTACTGAACTAATCCAATAACATACAAGGTTTTTTTGTTGAGAGAACATTTTTACCATCATGTTTACCTGAGGCAGATGCAAAACAACCAGGAAGGTGTGGAGACCATATAGTGCTGTAAATGACCCCTTCATGGCCTTTAAAAGTGCATAATGACTTCCCCACAGCTGGATCCCACTGAATAAAGTAAAAAGAAAACTGTTGAGGTACACATTCAATGATTTAGAGCTTAATACATAAAAAAAAGCTTTATACATACAGAAAGGACTAAATTAACTCCTTTTTACCATTTATCGTGACAAGGATTTGTATACTTAAACTGATATTAACTGAGGGATAAAACAACATCTCAGTTAAAACAGAATTTCAGCCTCAGTGTAAAAATAAAGAGAAAAAATGAATCAATGCTGTTTCTTAACACAAAGAACTATCAGATCCAAAACAAAACACATTTTTCACCTTCAGAAGAAAACCAACATACCAGCTTGGCTGTTTGATCCCATGAACCAGACACCACTAGCTGTTCTCCTCTAGTTTGGCTCCAGTCAACACTATATGCCTATAAACGATATAACAGCCCAGTTCAGAAAGAGCACTAGAATACAAGTTTGAGACTCTAGTTAGCCAAAGTTTCACGGAATAGACTTGGATTTGCAGACTGAATCATAATTAGCTAAAAAAATCACACCAGTCAAGCACCACAAAGCTGCCAACAATGACATTTACTGGAACAAAAATTAAATTTAACATCTCAGTCTGGCATTAAAGGTACATATAGGCTCAGAAAAGTATCCGAAAAAGTAAAAATGGGCCAAAATGGCGGGCGGAAAAAAAAGTTGTAACCAAATCCATATAGACCCACCATCACTAGAAGTTTCTACCACTGTAAAATTCAGACTGACTTCTTATCTCTGATCCAATTTTATTCAAATATCTACAATTTCTAATTGCTAGCAATGCAAATGTCGACTCTTTTCTGAGGTGGAGTTGACTTTGAGGTTTTATCATTAAAAAGCATTTATTGTTAGTCAGCTACCTAATTCTCATAAGAAATGCATGCCATAAAATACTCCTAGTTTTCATCTTTTCCAGGTTCTATGACACACTTTTTTTAGCATTCACCTCCTCAAACAAATAGAATAAAATTTAAAACTCAGCTTCCCTCATGACTAATCATTTCAGCTATTAAGAAATTGCTTTTCACTGTGTAGTTGAAATAAGCTCCCTCTTCTCTGACAGTTTATTCTAATATTGGTCCCTGCCTTGATAGAAGATACCTTAACTCCATCCTTCACTGCTGATTTTTCAGGTCTCCTGCCTCAGTGAAAACAAACACTTTAAGGTAGTTCCTCAGATTTTCAAATCTGAAAGTCTCAAGAACATGTGCAACTTCCATCTTCAAATGCACCATATCTTTATCAACATGCTGGAAGGTGCATTCTGTTCCATCTAGTTTTACCTCACACCAAAACGGCTCAATAAGCTGCAGTGGGACATGAACCATTTCAGTGCTAAAGTGGATAAATATTAGCTGAAACAGTTGATTTGCTCCACTTTCTGACCCAATCAGACCTTCCATGACTCTTCTCAGAAACATGGCCACTACCTACAGTAGGAGGTGACACCACTCAACAGCCGGGCCACTAACCACTGAGGATTTTTACTCCAGCTGAGACAAACTAGTTCAAGCACAGCACTGGATCTAATCTGCAAGTCAGCATGCCAGATGCTGTGTTCATCTTGGATAGAAGGAATTGTGCATTAAATGGCAGCAACCCTGTTTTGAAGGTGAAAATGTTTGGACCTGTGTCACCAGACAGAAAAGCAGAGCAGCTGGACTGGAAAAAAACCCAGCAAAAGCCAAAGTCTTCTGTGGAAAGTGTCCTGTAGGAGAAAGGAAATTGAGGTATCCTTTCGCTACTTCTGAGCATTTTCCTTCCTAAGAAATGTATCAGTCTATGCTAGATCCAGCTTAAATTAACTATTTTAAAATCTATTTGCTTATTTCCCATACGTGGAAGGCAACCACTGCCCAGAGAAAAACAAAGTGCATTATCTGCAACTTTCCTTTTTTATTTTACAATGCCCTGCTTCCCATATACTGAAAGGCATATTGTTCTGGCACCATTTTGTGCTAGCTCCCTTCCTTGAGGAGTTTATAATCCAAATGTACAGCACACTCAGACAGTACTTGACAAAAGCCAAATAACAAACTGGGAGGTAACTCTTTTGTTTGTTTTTCCAAACTATGCCTTTACCTCTTGGCTCTTCTACTCTTGTCAGCTAACTACCACTACTACAGCTTATTAGAACCCTCTCCCTTTCAATCTGACTCCTCTCATTAAAATGATAACAAAGGAGACACACAAATAGCTGCTCATATTTTAAGAATAGAAGACATCACGGTTCTCCAAAGTGGCTCCCAATCTCCTCACAAACATTAGCCTCTCACATTCTCCTCGAATCTGTGTGATGGCCTGTATTCAACTTCTAAGCTGTTGCTGTTTGGAAATGCCTCTAAATGTATCACTACATAATATGCCCCTTTCACACAACAGCCCTATTAAGTCAGTTCAGTGTTTGGCTCACATAATCACATCCAAGATTTTCCAGAAAGAAATACATCTCTGAGAAATATGCACCTGTGTCACACAATTCACCTAGCCCCACGTATTTGGGATGTATCAGATCTACTGCACAGATAAGGCAAAACACACATATGGCTTACAGCTCACTTGCAAGCTATCAGCACACAGATCTGTTGAACACATGTTGTGACATGGATCTGTGTACATATGGCAGACATGGTTGGGACAGCCCAGCATTCTGCAGCTGCATCAGAGGCAATGGGACCCGGGCAAATTCTCCTTTGGGCAAGGAGAGCTAACAATGGGCTCAGAAAAGGCAAGACGTGTTTTCCATTTGGCTTGTGACAGGTCTAGGTAATGGGAAGTGAATGAAAATAAAGGAGGTATGGAGAACCAAGTAAGGTTCAGTTTTATTCTTCTTTCCTTTTCATACTATCACCCAACATATATTTACAGATGCTTCAATAGAAGCTGTGTTGAGCAACTGGGAAAGACTAATAACACAACATAGTTTTTAGTCCTTTAGTGCTTTATCTTCAATCATAAAATACATTAATACTAGTTTATGCCTACAGGGCAGCAAGAAATGCCTCAGGCAAGCTGAAAAGATGATGGGGAAAAAAAAGAGATGTAAAAACATAAAAAATAGTACAAAATAAATGTTCAGGCTCACTTTACACAACAAATTTAATTCAAGCAGCCCATTGTCTCACATTCCAGTGAGCCTTCATCACAACCAAAGTAAATCAGACTCATTTATTAATAAGATCCAGCAGTTGGTTAGTGCTGGAATAAAACTCATTGTCCTTTGATAATAAAGATGCACTTTTAAATTAAAAATGCACATTCTTTTTGAAGAGGGACAATGATCTCATTTAGAAAACAAGAAACAGATCCCTGTCAATCTTGCCTTAGAAATATTATAAAATGGAGTGACAAAATTGTCATTAGAAATGTCAGACAGGGATTACAGATTAGGAAGGTAGTCAATCATTTTAAAGAGCACCGTCTGCCAGTGTTTACTACCACAAACCACTAGGTATATTCCCTCTGAGATCATCCTCCTAGTGCATGTTTATAAAGAATCAGTACAAACCTTTCGTATCTCACAATAAATCCTCAGTCCATGTTCCCTATACTGTCTTTCTAACTCATGGCTGAATGCATCTACCTCCCCAAGCTACCTGCTAAACTAAGACTTGGACACAAATGTTTACTTCACAGACAACAGATGGTGTAGCAGAACCAAAATAAACTTATGGACAGAATTTCAATGAGAAAATGACAGAGACCAAAAAAAAAAAAAAAAATTTGATATTATGCTTTGCCTACATCTTCTTGTTACCACCATCAGCCTTTGAACATTACCATAAAATCCTGATCACAACTACAAACTCATCTCTCAGAACTCTTTACTTACATAGTATGTGTATTAAACCAAAGTAGTAAAATTACAAAGAAATAATGTACAGAAGAGGGACTGTCATGTAACCGCAGTCACTCAGCTTTCAGCTTTGTGCTTCGTATCTGAAAAAGTCTTGAGGCCTTTGTGAATACAAAACTGGATTTGCTTCATCATTTTTTATTGACTAGATATTGACTATCTACTAGGTTATTTTATTCAGATTTATGTCATTGAGATAAAGCACCAGTAATCCAGGCTAAAACCAACTTCATCTAAAGTTCAAAGAGTTGACAGAAGTGAGTGAAGAGTTAGAAGGAAAGCATGGGAAAAAAAAAAGGGTAGAAAAATCACTTGGCAGAAGATAAACACACTAAAGCACAAATGTTGTTAAAATATGCAGACACATTTATGGACATTAATATAACATTTTCCTCTACCCATATTGCACTGCATAAAGAAACTGAGATTTTAAGAACATCAAATGCAACAGTATCAAGCCAAGGCTCAAAAAAGACATGCTGTCCCAATATTTGACTACTGTTATTTGAGTAGGATCTCACAAATGCTAGGATGGAAAAGAATAAGCAGTTCCCAGGTACAGCAGAAGTCCTAAGGACCTGCATAATGTGTATCACTCTGTATTCTCAAGGATAACACTGCTATATACGTCAGCTGTCTGATTTAGACCTATGCAATAATGCTTTTTAAATATCACAGAATGACTGCAGTACTTTCATACAGCACAATGATTACTTAGCCTATAAGAAACCACAAACACTATTTCTGAATATATTAGATTTATGTAATTAAGCAGTACCTACTACAGTGTATGAATGTACATAGGAACATGTGCAATAGGTAATTCACTTTCTATTCAATACAATGTTAGTTTATGAATTCAAACCACAGACCCAAACAAGTTAAAAAATAGACAACAAAGCCCACTTCTGATAATAAGTCCACAAATAAATCTTTTAATAATTCAAACATTATATCAACCATTAACTTTTTCAAGTTTGCGTCGCTTACCTCCTGAGTGTGCTCTTTGTAGACTTGCAGCGGACCTTTGGTTTTAGCTGTATCCCAGATTTGCAGGGATCCATCTCCACTAGAAGTGATCAGCACATGTTCATTATTCTCACTCCAAGTCACATCAAACAGGCCATCATTCCAGTCAAAACTGAATAGGAACAATTAAGATATTTGTCCGTGAGAAAGCATGACATAGAACTCTGCACTAGTTACATGCAAATACAGTATTTCTTTAAATCACCCACTCTACCATTCTAAACAGCATTTTTATACATTTGAGTTTCCAGTAAATTGCCTTGCAAGTAACTTACTTGTTTAAATGTCAGCTTTTACAACTGTATGCCAGAAGAGGTTGATTAAGTTAAAGCATAAATGAGCCAAGGACCTTCCACACACAGAGAATGAAATCTGATTTGAGTCTTAAACTTGCCCAGCAAACAGAGACGGATGTACCACATGTCTCAGTCTGATCTACAGTTTATCCTGGAAGTTGCTACAGAGGTAGGAGCCTTTTGCCTGTAACAACTGTGGTAAACAAAGAAATAAAACTGTTTGTGTTGGGAAAGCTCTATCCAATTCACAACACCACTAGGAAGCCAAGTCACAATGAAAAACCAACAGAAAGTCATGAACATATTAAAGATCTCTACACTCCCTTAAAAGGTCTTTCAACATACTGACAACTCACCATATCAGATCTGATAGCATGTATTAGTTGCTCTGCAACATCAATGACCACGCTGTTATCTGATGGCAAATATGAATTTATTTACCCCCTTTTCACTGAAGGTTTAGCTAAGCTCAGGTTAAACTTCATGGCACCCTGCAGTAATGATGAGGGAAAGGCATGCACACAGAACATTTTGACAGAGAAAGTAACACAGCTTATGGATCAGGAAGTTACAGGACCTTCTACCACAAAACAGGTGGAGTCACTGGAAACATATAAATGAACAATACTAAACCAGAGCACTTAGCAGAACTAACAGTGTTGAACGGTTTCAAAGAGTCTTGCTTTATAATTATGAATTAAAAACAGTTTATTTGAATATGATTAACTATTTGTTAAGCATTTCTATTTCAGCCCTCTTAATCTAAACAACCGCTGTTTCAAAACTTTCTTTTAAAAAATTTTAGGTCAATGATGGTCAAGTATTAAACCCCCTCTTTCCTAACCTTGCTCCTCCTCCTATCCAGAACACAAACCAAACTACTCACAAACCCTCAGAAAACTGGGTCTCCAAGGAAGGACCTCCATGACTTTACACACCTTTCCACTCTATTTTAAGTCAATCATAAGGGCATAAATTTGGGGGGCAAAGCACTGTTCCTAAAAAGCTAAAATTCTGGATTTCAAGCTAGGGCATAGATGCTACTTTTAATTCACATTGTCAGTTTTCCATAAAATGGTTTAACACCGTGGAAAAGGTTCAAAACAGATTACCTCCTATAACAAGATCTATGCAATGTAAACCTATCATTTGTATGTAAATACAAATACATTCATTTGTATGTAAATATAAAGACATGTATTCAGTAGATACTATAGCATGGATACTTTCTATTGCTTGCAATAACCCAAAATATTTGGGTTGCGTCTTGTATCCACAGGTACATAAGCTTCTGTCTTGCAAAAATAAACCATAAACCTATGTTACCTCCCGAGCAGAGTAATCCCAGCTTCATTTTGTTCCAGCACTGCCAGAGTTCCACAACCTAAACCAGCAAAATAAAAGAAAACATCACAACTAGTTCCCCCATGCTAAGGGGAGGTACTGCGGTTCTGAGGTAGGTCCAGTGTGCAAATACAAAGGGCATCTGAACTTTAAGAGGCCAAACAATCAGTTGCATAAACAAACACCTTGTCTCATGTCCCCTAAAATAGTAATTAATTTACATCAGAATTTTTGGGTTGTTTGTTTTTGGTTTTTATTCCAGTATACCAGGTGAGGTTGGAAAACCAACAACTTCCTTATAAAGCACAAAAGTGTGTTTTCCCCTTGAGCCTCGTGTTACAGACACACTAGCAGGGGGTTCCTGTTTATGTTTTTGACAACACAGCAGACATAACACATTTTTTCCTCCCCTGAATCTAGTATATACAAACACAGCTGACCAGAAATGGAACAAACAATTCCGTTCTGAGAAAACACACCTGGGTACTGCTTTCCCATGTGACCAGGATGTTGTCAATTTCTGCATTTAGGAACCTGATTTAAAGCGAAGGCTTTCAGCAGCATTACTGCCACTGGAAATGAAAGAAGTCCCAAAGTTCAGAAGAGCCCAGGTTGCCTCTTCAGACGGACCAGGGTCAGCAGGGCCTGTGTGGGCACTCAGGGTCTGACAGAAGAGTCAACATTTTAAGGAGAAAACATTTCGGACATTTCATTCACACTGTGTATGCCTCTACTACTTCATTTACTCTCAACCCTATAAAACCAGCACTCCTCTGAGACGCTCACCACCACCAAAGCTCCCAAGGGCGGCCCCCTCCCGGGCCACAGAACGCAGACGTTGTACCATAGCGAAACAAAAGCGACGGGAATCCCAAAACCCTTCCACTGACACGGCCTGTCCGCCCCCCGCC